TTTCCGCGAACTTGGTTTCGGCTTAATATTATTCTTTTACTTAGTCCACATTTTTAGTAGGTACATACCAACATATGGAGAATTTGTTGCCTTGAAGTTTAGTTTACAATTACAGAAAAATTTAACGGATTTTTAGGTTTCTCTGTGCAATTTTCCAAAATTCACTCAGAGTTCAAGGAATAAATTTAAAAAAACTCGAATTGGTATCAGCCGCCTTCGTGTTTTGAGCTTAGCAACTTATTTTGCGATATTTGTATTTATATAGATTAAAAGTAATGTACAATGTTGTCTATCAAAATTAAGTTAGTGAGACACACAATCATATTATATACACATTTAACGAAGTTGAAACACACCTGGTTAGAAGACCAATTTCCCGATCTAGGGGCCATAGTAGGAACTCTAAAACCGTCATTATCTCTTGGACTCATAGCTCGATTCACTGAAGTATCCCTGCTGTTACATTGTGACACGATTCTTCTAAAATAATTATACTCATGAATTAGGACCCAATCATTATAAAGTATTCTTGGGAAGTATCTTCTTTGTATAAGTAACTATTATACAAAAAGGGGTTCAAAGGATATATTAAAAATTTAGTACCAAATAAATTCTTTAACAAGATGCAATTTAAAATTTTGTAAAAAACAATTAGCTCATGTTAAGACCAATTCATTTATACAGTGTAAACTCCATGTAACCTCGATTTAACAACAAACCGCCTAAAGCGTCGAAATCACTCGGCGTGTCTTCCATTCAATGATACAGTCTACATAGCATTACATCCACCCTCAATAACGACAGTGAAATAATAAAAAGTACTTTTAAGTTACCGAAATTAGTTACAACTGCGGAGCTATGTACGTTCTTTAAACGACGTACATAGCTAGGACAATAGTCCTAGCCTGTAAAAAACTCGACTTTCGGCATCATACGTACCAAACTTTCTAAGAAATCTGTTATTTTGTTTACAATAGCTTGCACGACCTATTGAGCGTCTAAGTGCGGAAACTGCAAAATCGCAAAATATAAATAAAAAGGTAAAAAAATACAACATATTTGCTGATGCAGCGTAACGTTAAAATAATAATTGTTTTTATGTAATTACTAACGCTAATCTGAATTAAACTTTTTCTTTTTCTAATACAGATTTTTCTTCTTTTCATTTAAAGTTTGTAACGTTATGCGCAATCCCTTGATTGTCGCTATATAGAGTTTACACTGTACATTAAAATTAATAACATTTTGAAAATATTTACTTCATGAAACTGCAGGTACTGCAGGAAAAGGCCAATGAAGTATTGTTTTTTTATAACAAGCCACACAATGTCTGATCGTATATTTGGCTTACCGTTCTGTACTATGTTCCCGGCTGTATGAGCGTAGTGACCTCCATCTATCCAAATCATCTCGACTATTGCCAATGTTTGAGGATCTATTGCTTCGATGACTGTCTCTTCTTTCGCGGTGTTTCGGTCCAGGCATATTTTCATATTGTATACTAGCATTACTGTCTTTGCGAGTGTACTCAATATCATTTTGTATGCTTACAATACTATCTTTCCTGTTGCGATCTTTCTTTTCTGAATTTCTCTGACCCCTGCTACCACTTCTAAAAGGAAAATTTAAGATAAGCTGATTTAAAATTTGTTAATTTTCTCTGTCAATAATATAATAACTAATAATATGTATTTTTCTCATTATAATAAGCTAAAGCTAAAACATTTAGCAACAAATATTACTTTTAGACAATAAATAAGGTTGTGTTGTCATCTATTTATGAAATACTACATAACATTCTTAATAAAGATTACCAAATAATCTTATTACATTAAGCAAGGAATTTATTACTTACTCAAAAATATAGACTAAATCATCTCAAAATTTAAAATAATGTATAGAGCAAATTTTTCAGTTTAGATATGAAAATAAATTTATATATTTAATATCTAAACATTGTAATGCTCCAAATACTAGTAGTCATATCAATATGAACAAACTAAAAATAATTTAAATAGTAAAGAATTACACCTCTGTTAGCAATAAAAAAACATATAATATATGCAGCAGTAGAGGAATGAGTAATTAAAAAATATTAGATGACTTTTACCTCCTGTCTCTATGACGTGATTTCTTTTTTGCATCCTTTACTTCTACTGCTCTTACATCTTGCATAGGCTTTACACTTAACGAAAAGCTAGTTGTTGTTTCTGATATCTCATCCAGTTTAATGTTTTTCTCCACTTCTTCAGTCCAGTCCTGCAATTTTTTTACATAATAATTAACTTAAAATTACTTTAAAGTTGTGTTTTAATTTTTTACACTTAGATAAACTTAGGAGTAGTAACGGCTCTCAATCATGAAGTTATGCATTTGAATGATGACTGTGGAAACATTGACTGTATTGTACAACAGCGAGAGGTTGGCAGCTTTCCTAAATACAGGACATCAAAGTTGTGCCTATTGCATTGATTTTCCATTCTATGTGTATTTTCTACATGATTTCTATTCAAACAATGTATGTATGTAAGCAACACCCATGAAGTGCTGCTCAAGTTTTCTTTACACAATTATATATACTGTCACAATTTTATTGCGATATTCATTAAAACATTTAAGAAATGTCTTACCAAATTTATCATATCAGAAAGACTAGTGAAGGTATCTTTTGATTGTTCACTTGTACTTTTACTATCATCTTGTTTTTCTTCTTCTTTTGCACAGTTTGCAACACCATTATTCATCTCTGAAAAGCAGCACATAATGGTATTGATATGATTATTTTAACAATTATCACTTATAAATCTACTCCAACTAGAAATTAAATTTTTTGGTGCCACATAAACAACAACAAACTTACCAGTTTCAAGTACATTCCTGTCATTTTCAACATCACTGTAGCCACTTAGTTTATTTGTATTTTTAATATCAAGATCATTGGCATCATATAAGTTTGAATATGAACTGCTGGGTGTAGATCTATTAGAATTTTGAAGATCATAATTCTTTAAGTATGAAGTAATATATTTATCCCTGTCAAAATGTTCATTATCCCTCAATCGACCTCTTCCACGAGATGGTAATGTTTGTGACCAATTTGAATTAAGAGGCTGACCAGGACCTAATTGTGAAATATCATTTTGACCTTTATTACATTGATCTATATTCTCAATACTGTGATAACCAGATTGTTCCAAATATTTTTTTCTGAATCTTGGTGGTATGTTATCTAGGTTAGCTATGTGTTTATGTCTGGGTTCAGAAGTAAACCCAGCAGAATTCCTTCGACCTGAAGGAGGTTTACCACCAGAATGAGACTTGTATCTTCCTGCCCAAGTTTCCATACTTCTACTGTCACGGTTACGCTCTAGGGAATTCATTCCATGAACACTTCTGGCTGGTGATGTTGTCCTTGACACTGAATCTTGTTTATACTGTCTATTGAAATTAATATCACTATTAACACCATCCTTTGTATGGCCTTCCTTTCTTGAACCACCTCTATAAAATGACCCTGTATTACTACCACTATAGTTATCTTGCCTGTTTGATTGTCTACTATTAAAATGACTAGAATCACCACTTCCAGATGTTTTTACCCTTCTATCGTCCTCGAAATGCGAATCTGCTGATCTGGGTTGGTAAATTTGCTGTTCGGGTTTACGAAAACGATTATTCACCATGGGTTCTTTTAACGAATCAGTGTCGCCATTTACAGAATTAACGGAGCCGTAATGACTACGAGTTTTGCGGTTTTGAGAATCATCTACTTCATATGAATCCATTTTAGCATCTAAACCATACCTAGACCTTCTGAGTGGACCACTACCTGGTCTATAAAGTTTTTGTTGTGGTTTGTTTTTTCTATAATCTTTACTTTCATCATCCATAATATAGATCACTTAAGTAAGTAGTATTTCTAAAAAAATAAAGGTAAGGTTTAACTTATCAATCGAAACATCAAGGTAATAACAAAAGCGTAGTACATATTTTAACTTACTACTGACATCGTAAAGGTTATGTTGTAATTATTAACCAAAACTTTCTGAGCCAACGGTAAAATTAAACTCTATCAAATAAAGATGATAATGTTAATATTCTTGTGTTGTAAACAAAAAATCACAATTTATAATCACGAAATCAAGATAATCAAATGATTTAACAAACGATTTAAATTTAATGTTTTGAGATAATCTTTTGACAAATATATCCCTAACTCCATAGACAAGTCTCAGAGTATAAATTTTGATACATTTATATTGGTGATGAGCAGTTTTCTATATATAAGCTATGTTGCTAAGTTACCAGCCTTAAGGAATTTCACAAAACCTATGATGTATTATTAATATTGGAAAAGAAAGAAAGCAGAGAATTTTGGTGCCTTAATAGATATAATGTCAATAACCAAATATATATACTTACAATTATTGTCAAGTAACCAATATAGATAGTAATATCTATGTTATCTAGGACATTTACAGCCTGATGGACAGATTGTAAAGTAGTATAATAATATCCACGAAAGCGCAGAAATGTTCCTTAAAAAATAAACCGCATATATCTATTCTACTAATTGCAATTATACAACTTGTGGCAATATTTATATTTTTTTGGTAAAAAAAATTGCAAATATAAATATTGCCAAAACATACTTGCCATTTTAAAAATTTGTATTATTTATTATGTAATTCTGAAGTAAGGTAACTTTAAAAGAATGTTGTCAAATTTAGAAAGTTGTCTATTGATATAGTGCGATTTATAAGTTTTGATCCACAACTTTGCATTAAAATATTATATCGTATAATGTAATTGTATCAAGAGTATATCATTGCAGTATGTTTTCAAGTTACAACTAGCAAATTGCAATGGGTTTCTAACCCGTAGCTGACGTATTTTATATTTGTATAAATTAGGAAATTGTACAGATTTTTAGTGATAAGTGTACCATCTGTGTTTATTTTTATCCAATATTATTTATTTCTGTTCATGATTAAGAAATAATGTCCTTCGAGTACTTACCCGTAGCTGAAGATGAAAATGAAGAACCCATAGAACTTCCAGTCGAAGATGATGGGACTTTGATGTTAACAACTGTGTCTGCGCAATTTCCAGGTTGCTGCGGTTTAAAATATCGTCATCCTGATACAAAAACATTTAGAGGTATAAGATTAAGAGACGGCAGACTATATCCTCCGCCAGAGGGATGGAGCAATCATTTATACATTTGCAGTTTTCCAAAAGAAAATAAAAGAAAATCTGGTGACAGCTCTGAGATTTCACTCTTAAAAAATAAACGAAACGACAACTTATGTTCTGATTTAATCGTCTTAGGATTACCTTGGAAAGCCACAGAACAGACGGTAAGAGAATACTTTGAAAAATTTGGAGAGGTATTAATGGCTCAGTTAAAAAGAGACCCGAAAACGGGTATGTCAAAAGGATTTGCTTTTATCCGTTTTTCATCTTATACATCACAAATGAGAGTTCTAGCTCAAAGACATATGATTGATGGCCGCTGGTGTGATGTTCGGATACCAAATTCTAAAGAAGGATCTATCACCTCAATGCCTTGTAAAGTATTTGTTGGACGCTGTACTGAAGACTTATCAGCAAATGACCTTAGAGAATACTTCTCACAGTTTGGAGAAGTCACTGATGTTTTTATACCAAAACCATTTCGTGCTTTCAGTTTTATAACATTTTTAGATCCTGAAGTTGCACAAAGTTTGTGTGGTCAAGATCATATTATAAAAGGAGTATCTGTGAATGTATCAAATGCCTCACCAAAGCAAAATAAAAGTAGTTCAAATCAACGAAACTTACCAAGTCGGAACTATGAAGAGAGTCATCACAATGCATCAAACAACAATTCCTGGAGTAGCCGTAACATGGATATGGTTAATATGCAAGCTTTAGGTATATCTGGCCAACATGGTCAATCTGCAGTTGCTGGTGGTGCTGGACAAGGTCAAGGTGGAAATATGCCTCTGAGCATGGGAGGTTTACCAGTTAACCAAGCATTAGTAGCAGCTGCATTAAATCAAGCAGCTGGTTGGGGTCTCATCAACAACATACCTTCTGGAGGATCAGAGCAAGGTGCATTTGCTGGACCAGCATCTTCTGCACCGCCAGCTCCACCCAATTTCCTATCTTGGATGCAACAAGGTAATTCAGCTCAGGGACCTTCTAGTCAGTGGGGACAAAGGCACCAATCCCAAGGCCACTCTGTTTGATCCAATGGTAAATAATAAGCTCACAATAATCTCTGTGATTGTAGCAAAAATTAGATTATATTATTTGAAATTAACTACTACATATGGGTTGTTTTTGGTGTAGAGTGGTTTGCTACTGGTGTTATACACATATATTAATTTATTATGAATTTGCTTGTTTTGTTGTTTTCTTTTGTCATTAACTTTTACTGTAGTTTAAAAAGCTTTTTTGTCACATTACATACACATAATATGATAAATATTATTATTGGTGTACTATAGTTTTCATAAAAGCACACTAGCATCATAAAAAAAAATTCAAATTTTCTAGCTTCAAATTTCACTTATATTCATAGTTTATACCTATATTTAATTAGACTTTGGGCATCAATCGACAAAAAGTATTCATAAAAGTAATGTAATATTATCATTACTTTATGACAAATAAGAATGTTTTGTTAGTGCACTTATCAATTTTATCAGCTATTTGTATAATACACTAATATAGTGAAAATCTATAATTTCTAACAATAATTGCTTCCCATTTTATTTAAGAAATTATTAATATATTCAAAATGTTTTGATTTATTTACAAGAAGTGTATGAAAATTGAAGTTGTTTTGTTTTTGTGTTGTCATAATTATTAAAAGTGAGCAAGAACATCATATGGAAGTGTAACTGTACCTATGATAGAATAAGAGTACTACCCTATTGTACAATGAAATGGTATATGTTTTATGGCAGATTGTTGAAAAGTCATACTTGTGTATAGAAAAGATAGAGAATCTATTGATTGTTATCATTGTTTAACAGAGTAAATAATGTTGATTATTATTATAAATTTATTCTGTGTTTCCTCAGGACATGTGGCTTAAATCGAGGATAAGTATATATATTTTTGACAAAATAAATGGCTAGAATATTTTTGTGACTATGCTATATTTTTACGGAATTGTTTATTGAATGGGTACCTAGCTATAGTTGTAAGAATCCTGGCATATGTGAAACAGAGAATACTGTGTGTCTAAGAGACGAAAGCTGTTTGTACAAAATTCAAGACTGTAAATAAGTAAAGGTCAGATACAATGTATAGCTATGTTTAAATAATATTTAACATTTATAATGGCAATAGAAGTTATTAAGTAGCATAGGAGGTTAAGCGAAAAATACATACAAAATAGGTATATGTAATGTTGGAAAATATATTTTGTATATCTCAACAATCATTAACTATATTGATTGCAAATACTTGTTAAACAAATAGATTCTTTAAAACTGTTTACAGAATGTTCAAATATGTTATAGTGACTAAAATTTATAATAGTAAGAAAGACACAATTTTATTACAAAATTATTGTTCAGGTACCTATGATATATATTAAAGTAACTTAATTACAACACCTTTAATAATAAACACAACTATTATAGTAAACTTTCAATATATAACAACATTGTAAAATTGTTAAGATTGGTCCTCAATGTATTTTTTAAACATTGCATTGGTAAATTTTTAGAATGGTGAGACATACGAAAGTAGACCCTCATTATTTAAGACATAGTCTAATATTGTATCATTTAATTGTGTGAGTAGCTAGATTTTAGCTTAATACTCAACATTAAAACTGGTTGTCGTGGGTACCTATTCATTATTTTCTATCAATTGACCATGTTACTCTTGGAAAGGAATTATCCTTTTTTTATTGTACCTATAAGTGGTAGTTTTCGCTTGGTTTTGTTTGTGTTATTAACTAATTCGATAAGATGGGACATCATCGGTTGACGTTATTTATTATTGTTCGTGGAATTTTTTATTTGTCAGGATAGTATCGGTAGGAACGGGTTAATTTTTAGACTTGGCTTAGCGACCGATCATAAATCTAACAACAGGACGTAAACATAATGACAAAAATATCTCCATATGATTATGACTAAAGAAATATTTGAAGGATTAAAAAAAAACTCCTGTATATATAAAGTGTGTATGTAGTACGTATCAACACTTTGTAATACATTTTTATTTGATCATTAAATATATTAATTTTTAAACGTGCTATAAGCCTCAAATAGCTGTTGAATGTCCTAACAACTCCCATGGCATTTAAAAATCGATACAAAATACGTTTCAACTAATTTAGACTTATAGTACGATTTGAATAGCATCATTAGTTTGTTGTTACAGTTGTGGTCAAAATACTATAAAATGACACATAAATATAATATCGTTTAGTTTGTGCAATACATTATATTTGTATATAAGTATATTACAGTCCATTAAAGTGAAATGAACTAAATGTTTACCATCTTATAAATAAAAATTATTAATCGAGTACCGATGTTCGTGTGTGCGCTTAGTCATTGCATATTTACTTGTAACAATTAATTTCTCACATACTTCAATAGGATCAAAGAAACAAGGTGCTATATAGATCGATGATATTAATAGCTCATCAATATCAATGTAGTGTGATGAAATTATAATGAGTTCTTGGTATATAGAATATGTATGTGACTTGTACAATCATATTAGCAATAAGTATCTCTATATCGCGTTTATCAAACATCGTTGTTGATCAAACTTTAATCAGCTTTGGATTAAACTTTAAGAAGCTAGTTTGATTAAACTTAATTATCCCTTTTTCTTGGGGCATATTTTCCGCAGACGTAACTTACGCTTATCGACTAATGCATACTAATTTAAATGTCGATAGTGATAAAAAAATAATACGATAGGGATACTTCTTTGCTTATGCAATATATCTAAAACAAAAATTCAATTTACATAAAACAAACCTCACCATATACCGTGCCTATTAAATTATTGAGGATTTTGTGTAACGTTTGGATTGATGTCGAAGTGTTTCTTAACTCAAAACATGTTGAATGATTTGACTCTATGTAAAAACAACTAGAGTTTTTATAGTTATTTTTATTATCTTCTGCACTATGTACATTTGAGTTTTAATCCGTCATTAGTGTAGAACTCCTTTTTATTTTGTAATGGAACCGATTTACTTTACAGCTTTTTTTATGCCTGTTTTTATTGATTCTATTGAATTTAATTTTTGTGTCTGCATTGATTGAATAAAGTACTTAAAATAAAAGTTATATTGCCATGACTTTAATTTTGCCAAGCGTTTGTTTATATTTACCTCTGATCAGTAAAGTACACACTAATAATTGATACGGGTTGGATACTACATACGTACCTAATAATACCTACCGTCTATGTACTTACAATATAAATGGCAGAGTGGATAAGTATACTAAATTTACAGCTTAATTTTTACTTTATAAGTGACCCACACCATGTTATGCGCGAATCGTCTCAGAAATAAAGATATTATAAACTTAGGTACACTCGCACACACAAGGACCTTTCTCAAAAATTTCATATAATGATTAGAAAGCCAGCTATATAAATAGTTTCCGCCCGCATCAAATTAAAAACATAGATAATCAAGACGTGGTATATTCCTATTATTCATATGCTCTTCCTCAAACATGCCGATAATTTAGATGATTAATTTAACATAGGTTTTTATGCATTGAGTTGTATGTTCCCTAGATGTGTATTATCTAATTATGGTAATAAAGAATATTGGCCCGTAGCAGCGGTTACTGTTGCAGTACGAATATGAGCCGCGTGTCTATATAGTATGTACGGTAATCACTTTGGTTACCTATAACCTGAGCTGTTATTAATTAAAAAAATATTTCTTGGCATAATCTATGCAAAAATATGCCAATAAAGTCATTGTCATAATTTTAGCAACATTAGGCTCAAGACTTAATTATATTAATATACAATTATTACCAGTTCTAAATTGTTGTGTTAGCAGAAACTTAGTTTTTAATAAGAATCAGTGGCTATTTTATTAAAATGGAATATCGAAAATGGACCCACAACGAAAGAAAGAGGCTGGGCCAGTAGCACCAAGCAGTATTAAAGCAGCACGAAAGAGTTTTGCTGTTACAAATACTTATGTAAAAAATGTTACACCTCAGAAGGAAATTATCACAGTTCATACTAGTTCACCGCAAATTGAACATAGATCATTTCACAGTGAACAAAACCAAATATACCAAGGTGATGTGAATGTACTTTCTATAATGTAAGTACCAACTTCCATTAATTTTAATTCGATTCACACGAATCCCTGGCATTATAGCAAAGCATAGCTTTCTATTTAGATACTAACGCAACGCAAAATATCGATTTTCTTAATATAATATGTATATTCCGTTAACAGAAACATATAAAAAAATATATACAGTATTTTAATACTTAGTAAACTTAAGTCGTTCATTATTTAGGCATTAACTAAAGATGCTGACTCAAAGAAGAGCAAATACACGGATAAGTGTAGGTAAATCTCTTCAAATTTTTATAAAATGTAAAATTAGCGTTTAGTATCGATAAAATCTATTTTCTATTAATACGATATTATTTTATCTCGCATAGCGATACAAATAAGGATATTGTGTGCTGCAAATATACTGAAGACACAAAAGATATTGCAACTGGTTTTATTGACGGAACGGTCAGGTTATTTGATTGCAATACTGGAAACTGCACACACACACTTGTAGACGATGAATGTCGTGCATATCCTGGCCCAGTCACGGCGATCAAACATAGACCCGTTAGTAAGGCGCATCCTATCACGAACATGCTATTGTCATCTTGTTAGTATATTTTTGTCTTCATTCAAAACTTGTTTGAGAACGTGTATTCACGAGAAATAATGTTTTAGATGTTAACGGTTGCATAAAATGTTGGAAGTATAAATACGATCAATGTATTTATACCATACGAGAGAAGCGCCAGACTTTAGGTTTATGTTACCATCCACGATTTAGTAAGTTTGTTACGTATGGAGATGATGCAAAACTTAATATGTACGATGAAGAAGCACAAACGCAGGAAAGAACATTCTATTCAAGGTTTTTCTTAACATGTTTTTGCCTTCAGAAGGACCTGATACATACCTGCTAAAATCTGAACCAAAACATAATATAATTAAAATATAATTACAAGTCGAATTTATAGCCCTCTTAATAGAAATAGAAAGTATTTTTTGAAATCGGATAAAATAAAACTGACAGTGATTTTTAAATATATATGCCAAAATTAAAATCAGTTTATTTAAAATGTTGCAATTGTATATTATCTTATTAAATTCCTTCATTACGTTTGCGTAAAAAAACAATATTATCAGATATCGTGAGGTCATCTGCGTGGGCATTACGATCGAGTTATTCATCAGAATCAAGTCTTAGGCTTATGACTACTGGCTGGGCCGGGCCTGCTTTTGTGCCGAGTTTTTACTCATTCCATTAAAATAAAATCTTTTCCAAAATAAAAAAATTAGCTTCGCCGTTGCCACATACTCTATCTTATTTATAAATATATTTAAAGTACAATAAATTGTCATATATTTTCTTATATACAGTCAACGAAAAAATATCATTGATGGGCATACGTCTAGAATTTTCGCATGTGCATTTAACCCTAAGTCGCACCACGAGCTCATATCAGGCGGCTGGGATGACACGGTGATTTGCTGGGACGATCGTCAACCCTTCGCGACCAAACATTTCCTCGGAGTTCACATGTGTGGTGAAGGTCTGGACTTCGATAAACCTGGGAAGCAGGTATTTATTTCAAGTGTGGGAATTATTTTTGTATGGAGCCTAAGCAGCAAAAGGCATTTGGAAGAAAACAACAAAACGGCCACTCACGAATGTGGTGTCAATAGATAAACGTAAATTATCTGGGTAGTGATGGAAGACGAGGTCTTCAATTGTCGTTGTACAAACGGACGCAATAACATGACGTATAATGTAAGTACGCGACGTTGTAGGTACGTCTCGTTGCTGTTGACTAATCATTTACATTCTCATCCCCTGATCTATTTTTTATTTTGCTCTCTGACTACATAACTCGTACAAAATTAATAAAAAAACGATTAAACATTAAATAAACCAAGGCAGTATTGATAAGATACGATTTGTGGAAACATTTTAGATTCTTACCTGCTCGTGGCAAGAAAGAGACACAATTCAAATTTGGGACTACGGCTCTTGTAAACTAATAGAAACTATCGTTCCCGACACCCATCAATCGAAGCTATATTGTGGAAAGTTGGTTCCTCAAACCAACTTGGCTGTATGTGGTGGTTCCGATTCGAACACGTTGCGAGTTGTTGACATTAATATGAAGATTGTAAGTGAATAAACTTTAATAAATTTTACTTTTTTTCTTATTTATGTTTTATCCGGTTTTATTAATTTTCAGACGGAATGCTCAATTAGAAACAATCCAGGTGCAATATATGCATTTGATTTCGGAACAGTAAGAAGGAAAATGAGTAAAGTTCCCGATACATATAAGAAAATAAGCGAAATTCAAAACATACCTAGAGTAGCATTCGTCACTGGCAAAAGATTACAGATTGTAGATTTTGGATAACTGTCGGAAATTTCACAAAAAAAGATTCATAAAAGTTGCACATCATTTATATCAATTTTTACATTTTCTCTACAATCAAACAGAATATTACGTTTAATATACAATTTTCTGTGACAGACACAATACACCGTGATTTCATTTGTAAATAGTATAAAACTCTAGAAAGATAAAATTTCGAGTTTGGCAAGAATTATATTTATACAATAAATAAAATAAAACAATATCTCTACATAGTATTGTACACAGGATTCGAACACCTAGAGTTCGATCGATTCAAGTTGAGCCTCGTCAACGGGTGCGTCTTCCCGTGCTGCGCCAGTTTCTTAGTTTGAGCTTTAGACAGGACGGTCGACACAAGGTCCGTGTAGTGCAGCGGAGCCAGCGCCAGCACCGTCGGCGCCACGGGTGGCCTCTCGGCACCGCAGAACGAGCCGCGAGCTGCCCGACCACCGCCGCCGGACTCCGAGCGAGCGCGGGTCGGAGCGTCGTAACGGTCCACCAGTACCCGCACCGACACGTCCTCTCCGCCGCGGCCTCGCGACGCCGACCGTCGCGGCCGCTCGCTCTCGGAGCGTGCCTCGAATTCCTTCTTCAGGTTGCTGACTAAGCCCGCCGCTCCGGAGAGGGCTGGTGGCGCGGGAGTGTCGCGCGGCAGGTCTCCGTGGGACGCAGCGGCAAGGCGGCGGCGTCTTGGCCCGGACCGCAGCCACGTGTCGGGCGGTGCCGAAGCCGACAGCCTTCCGCCCCATGTCGCCGCCAGGCGACCCCGCTCTTCACCCGCCTCGGTCGACGCGATCTCCTTTAGTATGGCACACGTTTCGTTGAATTTGCGTTCGTTTTCCGCGATATCGACGGGCGGGCGGGGCGGAGCACCACGCCGGCGCGGCTCCGTATGCTCGTCGATGATGCCGAGGTCGGAGGCGGGCTTCGGCGGCGCGGGCGAATCGGGCGGCTCCTTGGGCCGTTTGTCGTCTCTTGCGACCACCTGGGGGCGACAGGAGCGCGTGTCGTAGGAGCCCCACGAGGAGTGCCGAGAGAGGTCGTGGGCCGCACTATCGAACGAGCTCCAAGAGCTCTGTCGACTCGGCGGCGGCGCGTCCTCGTCGACGGCTCTTCTCTCGTCACAGTCTAAACTTCGTTCGACCGAACCGTATATGACGTCGTTCGGTTTTAATTTAATGTCCACAATACCACTATCACTCTTCACTATATTGTCACTGTCGCTAGGGTTCCCTAATTCTTCATTGTTCACCCACTGCGCTTCCCCCGGATCCCACGTGTGTATTCTGTCGTCTAACTGCGAATACTTTTGTCCTACGTTGCGTAACGGAGACGATTGGAGTTTACTTGTCTGATCCCCGATATTACTAGCTGAGATGTTATCAGGGACGTTGTTAAAATTTAATCGCTGATTTCTTCGGGGAGCTTCCTTTTTATCTCCGATTGCGGCATTTTCGATTTCATTAACGATATGCTTAACTGAAAGAACTCCTTCTTCCTTTAGTCTAATGATTTGATTCGGAGAGACACTGTAGCTGCCACTAGCGCAAGGCATCAACATATGCCGGGTCTCTGACAAAGCGAGGTGTTCAAGGGACACCGAAGTCGGAGGAAGTAATTCTGACGCTAGTTTAGTGTCTGGAGACCAGGATCGCGGTCGTCCCGTATAAGAACCCGTCATAGCCAAAGCTAAAGGCGTGGGGTCAGTTATTTTATTATCCATTTTCGATGCATTCTTTGGAGACTTAAGATTTGTTTCTGACTTAGACCTTTGCAACTTTTCTTTATTTTTCATGGCATCGAGAATACCTTGGTATGTCTCTAATTGGTTCAAGAAATTTGTGTTCGGTTTAATGCAGTTTCTTTTCGCTTTCACATATTTGAGAGCTTTATCGAAATGCCAGTTGAAGGCCTTCATGGCATAAGCGATCACGACAGAGGCAGATCTGCTGATACCCATTTTGCAATGAACGAGAACTTTTGATCCCTCATTTCTGGCTTTATTAATATATTTATAAGTATTATCCCAATGTTTTAAAAGGTCAGTCTTATCATCGTCATATACTCTAACATTTAGGTAATCAAACATGCCAGGGAAAAAATTGTCTATTTCTCTTGTTACATTTAATATATGTCGAACTCTGAAAGAAAACAAAAAAAAACACATTTACCACACAATGTTGTATTAAGCTTTATTTTTAAAATACCTTTTTATTTTTGATTGTATCTTATTTTGGTTGTATTTTTTATGTAAGAGTTTACCGAAGGACCTAGGTCTACTAGGTCTAGAACTAGGAAAATAACAATCTAAATGAAAAAAATTAAACACTATTTAATATTTACATGGAAGACAGAGTCTTTACCCTTAAATAATACAGACGAAAAACTAAATGTCAATCTATTAGTAACTACAATATATCTTACCCATTCCTCTGCAACTCCTCCAGATTGCTGGCATTCCATTCGGATCCCAAGTAGACGTGGTCAAATATTTCAGTGGGGGCATCCATTTGTCCAAGTATAGTCAGCATTTCCTGATCTATGAAAGATTTATATTCAGCTAAATCCATATCTAACTCGTCTTCTAGGCGTCCTCGAATCGCTTTACTTGTAACCTCGTCCAAATCTACGCTCATCATAATTTCTTTTAGTGTGCACCTTATTACTCTCTCTGTCTCGTCTCTTTGTCGAGGTCTGAAAAAAATAAATAGTACATAAGAAATGCATCCATGAAGCGACTTACATAGAAAACAGATTAAAAATTTCTATCCCATCGGGACACTTACTTTCCCGTTATCAGACTATTATGTTATGAGTTATAAATTATATATATTTTTTAATTCTAACACATGTTAGGTAATTCTACAATCTCATTTTAAAAGTTTACAGTTGAAATATATGGGATGGGAATTCTTTCGCTTTAACTTTTACTGTAGGTATTCTATTCGGCTTATTACCTGTGGAGTTATTAGTAATATTAAGTGGTTATAAAGTGGGGTCTATAAGAGGGCAACACGTATAAAATCAATGCACGACGCGTTGTGAAATAATTAATATTATAATAATTGCATACTATAAATTTTATTGCGTAGATTTCTGGCATCCCCAGAGGTATAATATATGTGGATGAACGTTGGAAGACATTATTAAAAGAATTTCAAAATGTTAAGACAAATGAATCGTAGGATAATAGATTTAACGTTCGGGTCTAGGATTTAAGAATCTAAACAGTGCACATACTTGTAAAACATTATTACTTTAATATTAATCTTTTTTTTATATGTATATTTCAGTATATTCTGTGTAGCATAATATGTTTAGCTGAGCCTGGCACATTACATTTTATTTTTAACTCAATCTAAGTTGGTAAACGTTATAATGAAATTAAATCTAAATATTTAAGTAGAGTTAGAAATTCAGGCGATTGTGCCATGTTATCTCGACAAAATTAGTAACCGTTGCGGTATTCGAAAGATTGGCAATTACAAACTTTTAATGACACTTTCAATATTTTTTTACATATAAATATGTACTATGTATATAAAATGTGTATGTAAATTTGATATCGATTACAAATTGACGCAAGTACCATTCGCAGATAATTCAAAATTGTTTCGTTGAGCATTTTGCACGCAGCAAATGTGTTTAATTAGCGTATTTACCAACGTCCGATCCTTTCCGAGGTCGAGAAATGAGGTCTAGGTACCGTAACGGTTTTATATCGTAACAAGATTTATATCCAAACAAAATTGCTGAGTTAACATAATTTATATGATTACTAATAATTACCTGATTCGCGAAAAAAATACAAATTACTCACTACTAGACATTCTAATTGAAACACTAACGGTAGATTAATTGAATTGATATGTGAAAGAATGATGCAAGTCGGAGGAAATTCAACGCTCGAACAGCAACTGGTTTAGGGAAGCATGGGGCACTGAAAGAACTTTTAAAGCCACCGATTTTGATTTATAGTATACTGATTTAATAAATAACTGTTATTATTAATGAACGACTTTGTTTGAATCTCAGGGGAAAGAAACTCGCCTTCATACTTTGTGTTACATAAAGAAATTATACAGCCAACAATATATAAGGCACACCTATTTCGAATTATTAGAAACAAAACAACGCGCCAATATTAACACCGAGGATGTCAATAAGGAAACGTGTTAATTTACGTAATTATGTATTCGTATAATTAGAATAAAGCGAAGATAACTCGAATAACAAATAATCACGCTCACTAAAAATATTCGTATTAAAAACTATCGCAAGTAACTTATGTTTTAGCTTAGTTTGTAGGGGCCAGTAAAGCAGCTAGATTGACTGTTTTAAAGGGGTGTATAATATATATATGATTTATTCCATGCTTTTATTGTTGAAGTCCTAGGTTCAATTCCTCGATAACGGCATAAAGCTTTCACACTAAGAAAAACAATGTGTGTGTTTTTGTTAAGAGACTTTAACCTTATAGTTGCGTTCTTAAATGTGTACAAAATCTATGCGATTTTTATAATTATTAGGCAACTAAGACACACCATGTCCCAAGGAGCAATTTGAGTTGTTCTTTTAAATATTTTTACTAGAACGGGATTAGACTAAAAATATATAAAGTATCGTAACTATATATAAATATAGTAGTACATCGCGTAATAATTCAATTACGCAGTTCATTTTATACTTAGTGTTCGTGATAAAAACAATGTCGTCGATACTCACTTATGTCGAAGAGAGTCAGGTGAGGGCGGTCGGCGTGATTCAATACAATCCATGGCGTACCATTCATTAAGGCATGAGCGGTCCGAGTCTATATGGCCTTCATAGTACGAACACCATGCGTGCGATGTCCCGCCCGCAAAATGGTTCAACTCCCGCGCCCTGCCGCTCGCCCTGTGCAGAGTCTGTAGTGCTGACCTGAAAATTACCGGCTCACTCAAATGCTGTTTTTTTTAAATATCAAAATATTCTGGTCAGATTCCTTTTGATAGGTTGTATAAGTAAGGATTTTTTTTATAATTTCATTTTCATTCATTTAACGCTACCACAATTTTTCATAGGGCTAAGATTTTGGGAAAGAACCGCATTTATCAATCATAGATGACGTCAGCGATTCTAGGACTATAAGTTCGAATGTGTAATGTGTATACTAATGTAATACTATAAAGATAAGGAAACAAGATTTCAGTTAAAAACAATCAGTAAACCTGGTGTATTGCCAAGCTTTTTCTGATTCATTCCTTCATCGCTCAAGCTTTTCCTAGAAGCATAATCCTTGCATTTATTCATTTAATTTTTCAACTTAAATTAGAAGAAAAGTTCAATTTATTTTCATGATGGAATTTTGATTGAAATTCTTTTTTACCAAGTTCAAGTCGATTTTTCATATACAAAATGTACACGTGTTCTAAAGGTGGTATAGCGAATTATCGGTTTACAGAAACTTCGTCTGTTTGTATGATGAGTATTACGCAAAAACTGTTACAGGGTTATACGAAATGTTGCTTCCGTAAACTTGGGTTAATTGTTTTATCCTGGTAAAATAGTATAAGTAAGCTGCTCGTAAGCTGAAGCTTTAGAATTTTGCTGCCGGGCCCAGGTAAACAAGTGACCTGAGAATTAATGCGCGCCTTCTCTGTTTTAGAACAGAATCGTCTTTGACGCAACAGTTTTATACAGTAGTAAGATTGCCATACAAATTTATCCATACTGTTAGAGGTATGCCAATTTCGTCGAATTCTTTACGCAAAAGAAAGCCCTTTCTTTACCTTAAAAATACTGATATAATATACAAATTTTGTCAAAAACATACAAAGTTTGTTATACCAGATCTTAATGTTGAAGTTCTGCGTATGTAACATGTTAAAATGCGTTAGTAGCTTTTGAGCTTTTTCGCTACTGCAGATAATGTGCACAAACGACTACAAATAAATTGCATTCAATGTCAACAATACTATGACAAAAAATTATACATAGAGTACATACCACATGGCTTGGACAGACACCGGTTTGAATATATGTTGTCGATTGCACACACACACACTAAACCCGCTGTGGACAATGAATCTTCAATTAGTTATTGTTCCTTTCACACAGGGTTGACAGATGGCAAAAAAAACAATTAAAATAATTTGAAAAATTATTAAAACACTCGCTAACTCTACTTGGATACAAACACTGAAATTGTTTCTTGTTTTATGCACCAGCGATTTGCGATCTCATACATCGCATACTCAAATAATTTAAGAAAATTTACAAATAATGCACGAGACCCACAAATTAGTTCTCAATAACGCGTTACCTAGATTACATTTAGAACAAGTAACGTTGAACTCATTGTTGCGTTTTGTTACAATTGTTTTTAAGTTTGAGTCATGACCTAGTTTTAAAAAGGCATCATTATCCTTTAATGGTCACACAATTTTCCTCCAGTGAATGACCTGACGCTAACATCCTGGTCGAATCTAAAAAAATTACTATCGGGTATAAATTATTACTATATTTAAATGAATTTAATTATAAAAATATACCATGGTCGAATGAAACACGTATTGCGTATATATTATTTTTTATACAAACATATTTGCATTCTATTCCATCAGAATAAACCAAAGGCTAAACATAATGTTCCTTTAAGCAGGTGCATCGAATCGGTAAGGTTCAGACGACTCACATAATGGATGTTGAAAGGTCAGACTAAGTTAATGTCTTAACCAAGGGCGTTCCTATCACTTACATTCACATTACCAGATTTATAAACATTTTGACTAAATAGCAAATTATTAATTTATATTTGCAAATGGATTATTAAATCAAGCTATAACCCACGCATTCAGGTGTCCTCGAAGAGAATAGTACATTCTACAATCGTAAGTTGAGTGATCTAAGTAGAAATATCTTAAACACAATGAACGGTCAAGGTCGGTTGCTCGTTTTATATTTTGTAGGTCGGACAAAAACGTTATATTCACTTTATATTACAAAACTGTTGCAAATATTTTTTTTTAAGTACAGTGTAAATTATATTAATCGGCCATTGAATGATTGAATTATATTCCAATCTTAACTATTTGTCAACAAAAATATGATTAACATTTGACTAAGTACCTTAGAAATTAAACAATGTAAATATACTTGCCCATCTCCATCTAATTTGATAGATGTATCGGCGAGCACTCGCAGCACAAGGCCTACAGTCGTGCCCTCATTACAGTCGATGCCCAGTAGGGCGGCCTCGTCTTGCCGGCACACCACTACCAGGTAGCGCGTTCGACCGGCGTGAGCGCTCTCCAATTTCACCGCCTAGTATCAATATCAACAATGTTTATTAAAACAAGATTATTCTAGTCGCAAAACATTGACCCTAACATTCAAGTTAGAAACTATTTAAATAAAATAAAATATGTTTATTATGGAATATAAGATACAGGTATCACTTATTCCACGTCATTAAATTTAAATCGGTTGACATCCCTACTCATCGGCAAAGAAGACAGAGGATGTAGGCCGAGAGAAACCCTCGGCACTCTTTTTTTCGGCAAATTTAAAACTTATGCCAATCGGCAGGATCGACAACCTTATGAAAAACCACATACAAATAATTACCATTTTGAGCGTCTCCTCCGGGCGCACCAAGTAAAACATGGACTGTAGGTGGTGATGTATGTCGGGCTGCGGCTGGACACGGGCCGGAGATCGCCGACGGTCAGCGCAACCGTTCTCTGCGCTACCCAGCACCAGTGCCGCGCCCTTGTTCGCGAAGTAACACTCATTGAGGCTAGAACAATATTAAAATAAGTTTAGCCCTTTACGAAGTAAGCTGCAATCGCGAAGATATTTTTATCCATTACCACCTAAAACCTGCTTTTAATCAACAAGTAAACCGCGATATTGGAACTTATTATCTCGCAATAACTGTCAGATATTAAAAATTTTAATCGCAAACTGTATGAATGACGCCATTTTTAGCTTGTTGTCGCAATCGGTATTGGCGTAGCAATTACCTCCCTTTCACCAGTGTCGAGTTCAGTTCTTGGGAACAGACAAAACAAGGCTCGGCTCGTTTGCGAATCCGTCAGACGACGCGCTGGCTGGCCCTTGAGCCGTGAGTTTCACGTAACAATTATTTAGTCATGATTACGATTAGTCACTCATTTCGATCGAACATTTATTAAGTACAGCAATTTTGTGCACACATTGATGAGTCGATTTCTTAAAAAGTTTTTGTTGTTATAATTTCGTAGTTTCAATATATATAATTAAATGGCCGCCACACCATATGTGTTCAAGTAGTATGATTATTCTCTAATACGACGGTGTTTAAATGTTTAGGTGTCATTTCCATTATAGCAGCAAGGGCGGGTGCTCTCAAGGTTTGATAAAAATAGAGTAGAGGCCCGTTGCCAAAGAAGCGTTGCGCGACCATACATGCGCGTACGCAGCATGTGTGTTGCTTCTCTGATCTTTACCACATATGGATAACGATGCGGTACTTACTATAATTGCAATACGAGAAGGTTTACATTTTTATTTAGGGACCTAAACGTAAGTTTGGCTAGAGATAAGACAATAATTTAAAAAGTGTTTAATCGCTTGGTATTTGTTTATCTACCTCGTTATCGTAAACGATGTACTCGCTCAATTAGTGGACATTAGGACTTAAACGTTACGTTGATAGCAATGTTTTTGGTTTTACTAAAGAACTTTATATATCTATATGTTTAAACCAGAGCAGAGATTTTACATATTATATTATGATAGTAAAACCACATCACAGAATAGTTAAGTTAGGTATTGGTTCCCTAAACATACCTATTTCACTGTTAAAACCTACACGTGTCTATGAAATGATAGCCTAGACCTCAGTAAGGTCAGCAAACGTATTTATTAATAATAATTAAATTCATGTATGTTATTTATATTAAGAAACATTACATTTGAAGTTATAAAATCACTCTTAAAATATACTAATGACCTATTTAATTAAAAAAACTACCGATATTAAACAAGATGGTAATTGGACTCTAAAAGTACATTTAATTATTAAAAGAATCCAAAATTATATAAAAAATAGAACACTTATGAAACGCCCCTTCATAGAACTAATGCGTTACATTAATATATAGTAATAACAAGTATCGATAGTGTACCTAATATTTACAAACAACGGAGGTCACTGTTGTCAGTTTGTAAACAAACGCCAATAGATTTAACGAACAACACCTTTACCTAAATGCAACCATGGTGGAGACAAAGGAGCACTGTAAACCACAATATTCACAAAAATATGGCACAAATATCTTATAGCACAATGGCGTAATTGATGATTTCGCGACTTCGTATCGGATATAGTATGAGTTATGGCGCGAGCGCACGACCGGTGCGCGCCTTACGGTGCACCATCCGCCTCAAAAGCTGAACAACAATACATTACAAGGCGCTAAAGCAGACATTACGCCGTGAACCGACAGCCACGCGTTGTCAGACGTCACGGCTTTCCTCTGAAGTATAAACCGAGCGTGTATTGGCAGCGTAAATATAGAAACACGCCGCAAAACAGGAACAAGGAGCTGGGATGCGCTACACGCAACACTGCGAGCCTCAGCAGAGACTTTTTTAATCTTGCGATTGCTAGTATGGTATTAATAATGATATAATTAGAAACAATTTATCCTTTCTATTTATATACAGTACTTTTATTCTAATAATCGTTTAATTTAACAACTTACTTGTAAAAATTTATTTTTTTAAAAGCTCAGAGAGGTAATTAAATTATGGTTTATATATATTCGAAAACACTATATTTTTAATAGTAGCTGACCGTCTATTAGTGTTCAAACATTTATCGTTTATTTATTTTTTTAATACAGTGTTTTAGTGTACAACAAATACAAAAGTCAAAAAATTCCAGAGTCATGTGGAAGACAGAGCCAAAATGGTTTCTTTAGTGCTGGGCCACCCAAAGGTGGGTCTCAATACAAGTTTACAAAGCTAACAACGTACGTGACTTTTCTTCTTTATTGTCAATTTATTTATGGCCAAATTAAACCACCAATAAATACCAATATTTAATTGCTTCTCTATTGTAAAGTCGACTAGTTGGGAGAGTGTTTCTTATGAACTATTTGTGTTGAATGACTCATTTCAACTCCTCCTAAATCTTTATAGCTTGAAAATTTTGTAAATATCGCTTTACAAGGTACTTCCTTATGCACACTAGAGCTGTGTTGGGTCCCAGCGGAGTTTTTCGAAGCAGATACAACCTTCAAATATATCTTTCCCTAGAGACACTCATCGATAATATGGACGTTCATGGGCTGCTGCAGTCACCTTTATTGGATGACCCACAGAGTCGTTTGCCCTCTTATTTAAAAAATGGCCAAAACAAATTAATTTTGCCCATTTTTGATGCGTTTCTAGTAGTATGAAATAGGATAACATTAACAGGTCCTGTAGTGCAAACTCAAGAAGGCGGATGGCCTCGACATTCACGTCATGAAAGTAGTTACAGTATGAGAACAAATATTATGTATTTTCTAAGTACAATCAACTTTTAACGCAATTTAAAGATATCGTAAAACATTTAACACCTATTTCAATTATTATATTATTTTCATTATCATCTTTAGCGAATTATTAAATACGAATAAAATAATGATTATGCAGTGGCGCTACAACTCTACATATGTCTTGGCTTCTTTTTTATATAAATTTTTTCATTATAGGCTCACCTCTAAGCCTGATACATGCCACTTTACTCACGATGTTTTTCGTAACCGTAAACAGATATTAATTGCTCACATAGAAGAAAAATCCATTGGCGAGCAGCCGTGATTTAAATACATAACCCTAGGGTCGAAAGTTCCATGCTTATACAATTAGGCCAATACTCCTCTTAAATAAAGGATATATATATATGTATGACTATGATAATAAAAATCTTGTAATTATAACAGAATATATCTAATCATTCATTGATACTTAGCTTCTTATATTAATATTAAAGTATGTCAACATAATTTAGGTTTACATGAAAAAATAATTGTTGTATTTAAGTTGTAAAGAAGTTACAGAGGACAAAAAGTGAACTCAAATGCTGATGAAAGTGTTTCATCAAGTAAATATATAATTGCCATGTCTCATTGGGAATTACAATTCACACTCCATACATTTTGGATTTGTAGCAATTACAAGTAATAATAATAATATTCTTTAGGACAACTCAGTCAAGGCAGCTAACCTATATTGAGACTGGCATGGCATACATACATACACTTCTGTGTGAGAAAATGCACTCCCAATGATATTTGTCTATTTTTCAAAGGCATATTTTAATTTGACAGATTTCCCCACCAGGGGTTTTAATTTAAGATCAGATCTGCAGTTAAACATACTAACTACTAGACCAATGAGTCTATAAACAAACTACTAATGTGGATATAGAACACAGGATTAAATTACTGAAATAATAAAAGCTTATTACAGGCTTATTCATCTAGAAATCATATATATTTTAAGGCTTATTCCAATTTGGCAAAGTAATAGTAAAACTTTTTGAAAATGGTGAAATCAATCAAGTACAATTTTTTGTTTGTGGGACAGGAAACAAGCAGACAGGTAACTTAGAAATAAGTGCTTGCCACCACCACCCATGGTTACCTGCCACACCAAGAGGACCTACTTGGAATTGCTGGCCTTAAAGGTAGTGGTACCCTCTCCTCTTAAAAATAAGATAAAAAAAAAAAGGGAAGGGGGGGGGAGAAGCCCCCCCCCCCTTTTTAAAAGGGGGGGGGGGGGGGGCGCCCCCCCACCCCCCTCCCCCCCCAATATTTTTAAAAAAAAAAAAAAAAAAAAAAAAAAAAAAAAAATTTTTCCCCCCCAGAAGGGGGGGGGGGGGGGGAGGGGGGCCCCCCCCCTTTTTTTTGGGAACAACACGCAAAAGATAAGATAAACCTATTGCCTCACTTCACACTGGTTTTGTTGGAAAGAGGTATTTCCCCGGTTGTGGTGGCCCATTGGGTTGAGGGCCAAGGGCCACAGCATGGCACTCCCACATTTAATTAAACAACTTTTGGGTTTATGTTTAACCTGTGTTTCTTAAAAGTGAAACACCTAAGAATCATGTTTTAAAGACTTTAACTTACCTTTTATTAGTACGATTTGTGGCATCTTCGTCAATGACTTCGCTAGATTTTTCTTCTTCATCCTAAAATCAAAAGTAAATTATTTATTTAGTTTGATAATTGAAAAACAAATACTAAATCTGAATTAAACTAGTAATGACTTCAAGTTAATTAGGTATTCATTGACAGAGATTAAGCCAAATTGAGCCCAACATACACAAACAATAAATTTTAAATACTTTATGGTCAGAAATATATTCCAATTTATAAATGACATATAACCATAACATTACAAGAGTAAAGATGAATAGGCATAATATAACTTCAGTATAATAAATATTCAGGGGTTTGCATTATGTACCTAAAATGGGATGATACTCAAATGACAACATTAGAAAATAAAATGAGTCTCATATGAATAACAACTTGAAATGGATTTATCAGTCTATAAATAAAATTATGACATATAAATATACTCAATAATAATAAATTATTGGTTGAACTCACCGTTTTTTTAGGCGTTTGGACACTTGGAGTACGACGAATTGTTACCAATGCCATACCACACAAGTCCTAACCAATCATTATTAGAGTAATACACAATCACGAACATAAAGCGATCCAATAGAACTTATCATTAATCTAGAAATGAATCACTTTAAAATTGAAAACCAAGAGAAGAATAACCGTAATCGAAAGATTTTATATTCACCCATAACACAATACCAATAAGTATAGCACCAATAACTTTTTTAAACTTTTTTCACAGGACGTTTATTATAATCACTTTAAGTTTTAAGAGATCATTACGAAAATTTGTAACGTTAGCAATGAAATAAATTTATAGATACAAAAAGTAACACATAATACCTAATTAGTACTTGTAGGTACCAACCGAGCAAGTTAATAGAAAGAAACAATCAAAAGCAACCAAAAGCCAAAGACGGAAGAACAGCTATCAACCACAGATAAACATAACATTTGTCAAAAGTGACACAGGTGTCAAGTGTTCCTCTAAGTAAGATTAATTCTTACCCATTATCTATTTTATTAGCAATTGTTTCGTTAATAATTTCGAGTACTTGTAACGTCAAATCATATAAATTAATGTAATAAAATACGTTTATAACACAATGTACCGTAATAGTACTCTTATTAATATGAACAGTACTTGCGTACAACAAAATATTAAATGTTAAGTTAAATATGTAATCCACAATCTCACGGAAATTATACTAGTACTTTACTACTTAACTACTTTAATAAGAAAACTTTGACTTAATTATTTTATAATATTTCTTTCTAAAATAAAACTATTTTATTAGACATTAAAATATATAAATTTGATTATGTTTCAGCGCATCACCAATTTGTGAAATTTTCGCTTATGTGAACTGTTATCACTATGTAGCGTATATTGTAGACTTTGTTTTTTTTTTATGGCCCGCACGGTTTGTGCATTGTGGCCCAGGGTCAAAAACAGGGAAACGGGTAAAAACATAAAATTATCGGCTGGAAAGGAATTTAGGAATAGAAAGTAATTAATCTATAAAATAAGAGATCAATTCTTATAAATATACATAAAAAAGGAGTGTAAGAAAACATATGTACATATATTTACGTTCGTATTGTCTAAATTTTTATATTATTACTTAAGATAAAAGCTGCTAAAAGTTTATATACATGTGGGTCCAATGTTGAAAGTAAACATGATATGGATGAAGGGAAAGGAATTTGAAGGGAAATCAGACCTTCAAGAAGAGCCGACGGGTCGCGTCGAGGACAAACAAACATGATGTGATTTAAATCACCTACATCATATCCGCAATCGCACGTAGGGCTGTCAATAATATTTAACTTAGTAAGATGAGCTGGGGTGCAGACGTGTCCCAGTCGCATACGAGACAGTACTGTTGTAACTTTTTTACCGAATCTCAGTCTCCAAAACCAGGGCTTACTGGGTATAGAAGGTTGAATAGTACGATAATGGCGACCTTTAGAACTATCTTGAGCCCAGGATTCAGTCCAGGAATTCCTGAGATAAATCCCTGAAAGAGACGTCAATCAAGTCATGCGCATAGTTTATAAAAATGTCTACACCTCCACTCTCCACCGCCTCATTGGCTAAACGATCGGCTTTCTCGTTTCCAGATATTCCACAGTGACCAGGAACCCATACAAACGATACGGAATAGTTTTCTTTTATACATTTTAATAGCAGGTTTCTAATTTCGGAAATGACAGGGAATTGATAATGTGAGCCAAATGGGAACCGGGCTAGGGCATTTAAAGAACTCAGTGAATCTGTAAAAAATTACAGTTTTTTGAAGTTTTAGTAGAAGGTTGTATTCTATGGCTTTAACAAGGCCAATACATTCGCCAGTGAACACGGAGGATTCAGGAGGGAGTTTAGTTTTTTGAACAATATTGTAATTATAGTGCAGTACACCAACACCTACACAGCCATCTTTGGAACGCTTAGATGCATCTGTAAATATTCGATGCCATTGTGGCCACTTGGTGTCAACAATATAGTTAAATATTAACTTTTGGTTTTGCTCAAATTTCACAAGACCTGTGCTAGTTTGTATATCAGGAGAGATTACAAGAGAATCATAACTATATTTGAACAATGGATTAGAATTCGCTTGGTGAGAAGGAGCCTCAAAAGAAGTAAGTCTTCTGTAACTTTCAACCAAACATGATGGGCGTTTGTTTTTCCAATAACTACAATTGGGGATTAAAGATGCCAGGCAAGTCAGTTTAGGTGTTAGAATATGGTTACTGAATTGGACACAACGGAATAGGAATTTATCAGACAGAAATTGCCGTCGTAAGCTTAATGGAGGCTCTACACACTCGACTCTCATACAGTTGATTGGACTTGACTTCATAGCTCCTAGGACTATTCTCATTGCTTTAGCCTGGATACTATCCATTTTTTTAAAACCAGAAATATTTCCTGGTTCCAACAGGAAAGTACCGTAATCCATTACACTTCTGATTATGGCGTTGTAAATCAGTTTTAAGCAGTGTGAATGCGCTCCCCACCAGATGCCCGATAAGCATCTAAGAATATTCAAATTGCGTTCACATCTTGCAGTTACATATTCACAATGGGGTACACCGGTAAGCTTGGAATCTAGAACTACTCCTAAGAATTTGACGTCATTAGTCGTAGGAATCAAAACACTATTGAACTTTACCTGGACCGGGGGAGGCCTACGCATTCTGGAAAACAACACAACCCTACTCTTGGATACAGATAAGTCTAAACCATTCGAATTTAGCCATGATTTTAAAAATGAAAGGGAAGATGTTAGAGTTTGGCAATTATTTTCCCGATTTGTATATAAGAAGATCGTCTGCATATTGTAGTACGTTTGCTGATGCCTGCAATGATGTTTCTTAATCATATGTATAGACGTTATAGAGCAAAGGACTGAGCACAGAACCCTGTGGTAATCCCTTCCACACAGTCCGGGATAGTTTGATATCTTCGATAAATAAATTAATGTATCTTTCACTGAGCATATTGATAATAAAATTTGACAGAATAGGTTGTACATTTAAGCAAAGCAATTTTCCCCTAAGAACCGATATAAGAACATTGTCATAAGCTGAGCTTATATCTAACAAATTAGCTACTATCGACTCGTTGTTTGAAAAAGCCAATCTTATGTCCGTAGTGAATATACCTAAGCTATCCATTGTGCTTCTACTTTTCCTAAAACCGAATTGTGACGTTGCTAATAGATTTTTACTCTCTAAAAACCATTCTAAGCGGATTTTAGCTAGGTGTTCTGCTGTTTTCATTAAAACAGAAGAAAGGACAATAGGTCTGTAAGAAGAAGGATCATCGGCTGGATTGAGTGATCCAAGACTTGGGAATGCACCCAGAAATCATAATAGAATTTATAATATTTAAGTACAGCATCAGCACATGGTCCGAAAGGTTTTTCAAAAAAGAATATGGAATCCCATCTTCTCCTGGAGTAGAGTCTTTTACGTTATTGAGTACACCTTTAAGTTCGATCAAAGAGAAAGGAGCGTTTAATCCAGTTTGGTCATCGGAAATGTAAGCGGGAATAGATAATGGAGGAAATCCCTGTTCCGGTACAGAAGGGGGTGCAAGATGATCCATGAACTGATCAGCTAGGGTTAGCGGTAATTTAGAAGAGGGAGAATTATTATATGCAGATCTAAATCTACGAATATTACGCCAGACCTCTGACGGGCTGACGTCTGGGCTAATGGAGGCACAAAATGATTGCCAACCATCATATCTCTTTTTCTTAAACAATTTTTTAGCACTACGGGCAGATTCTAAATATAACTTGAAATTTTCTTCTGACATCTCCTCACAGTAATTTTTTTCAGCCTCTTTTCTTGTTTTTATTGCAGCTGTACATTCAAGATCCCACCAGGGAGGCGAAGGAATTTGAGATCGGAACTTAGTTTTAGTGCAAAAAGATTCATCGGCAGCTTCAATCAAAACCTGAGAAAGAATTTCGGCGGAGATCTGATCACCTTCTTGAGAATAAGTACTAGTTTTCTGCTCTACTCGTTGGTTGAATAATTCCCAATCAGCATTGTTTAATCTGTATTTAAAACGAGGAGATCGAGTGGTTTTGGTAGGTTTGTGTGAAGGAAAAGTAATTACAAGTGGGAAGTGGTCACTACCATACGAAGATGCAAGAGGGTGCCAGTCCAAAGTTGAAGCTAAATCAGGTGAACATAAAGAAAGATCAGACGCACTTGCACCTTCACTTGGACCAGTAACACGGGTTGGCAGCCCAGTATTTAAAATACAGATACAATGAGAATCTATAATATCTAATAATTGATCTCCATAATAGTTGGAAGAAGTGCTTCCCCAGGATTGATGTTGGCAATTAAAATCACCTAGGACTAAGAATGGCTTTGGAAGGATGGAGAACAGTTGATTAAGAAGAGAAAAATATTTACATTAGGACGAGAAAAATAAATAGACACTATACAAATTTTATTTACAATAGCAGCAATGACTGATAAGTCATCTCCGAATGAGGGTAGTGGAAATAAGGAATAGGGGAGATTACTTTTAATGACTATGGCAACACCGCCATAGCCGTCAGGTCTGTGCTGTCGGAGAATAACATACCTAACCTGGAATTCGAAAAGTCAATTCCGGGCGAAGCCATGTTTCTGACAGAGTTGAGACAAATGGTTCAAATTTATTATGCAAATGGATTAAATCATTTTTATTGCAGATAGCGCTTCTGCAATTCCACTGTATTATTTGTTCGCGTTCGTGACGCATAAGAGGATTTTAATTGAGTTAAGGAAGCAATCGTTGGGCGGCGTTGTTTGGTTACGTTGTTGTCAGAGTTAGAAATGGATTTAATTTCAGTCAAAACTTGGAATAAATCAGAGGTTGAGACCATAGTTTCATTATTGTTAAGGTTACTGATTATTAAACCGACCCCGTTTGAAGGAGCTGGAGCGTCGTAGTCCTTTATCAAATTGAAGTGTTCTGTTTTGTTATACCCCAGTCGTTTTAGTTAGGGGGATGTCGGTTTAGCAAATATTGTTTTCTTATAAGATCTACTATACGACGGAGGGAATAAAAGCTTTGTAATTATTTCTTGCCAGGCAAGGGTTATTAATAAATTCGTTTGCACATTTGTGGTCTGAGCTGAACCTATCCTTTTGATGCTACCATTAATTATGTTTTTAAAAGAATTGTTCTTGAGGAAATACCCAAATTGGACGGGGTGTAGGGAGGAGATGTCCGTATCTAAAGAAACTTTTTGCGCATGAACTACGAATGGCCCTATGTCATAGGTCTCATAAAACGTTCGGCCTATAGGATTTTTTATGGACTGAGAAACGTCTGATGGAGGTGATGGGTGCTGTTGGGTATTAACAGTTGCAGTATCTACACAGTCTACTTTGTTCTGAAAACTATCTAGAGCATTAGCGTTCTTAAGCCCAGTACATATTGAGGGAATTTCAATTTCCGGTATTTGGCACGTTTCCTTTTGATTGTTCCGACGCGTCGGATCGAATCTTTTTTTCCTTTTGTTGCAGTGTTTGCAAATTTTACCTAGTCGCATTCTTTTTCGGTCATTCCGTTGATCCACATCTGTATCTACACTGGACTCGTCCAGTTTAGAAAATCTATTTTCTATTATAATATTACAAGCTACCTCGGGGGGCGAGCCCCCGATATCCGGGGGCTCGTCCATTTTTTCGCCTGACTCCAGGCCTTGAGGAAAAAGTATACAAACTTACCAGATACTGTAGAATATATACACAAATGAATAAACAAAACTATTAAATTTAACTACTACATACAAATATATACAAACTGATCTTTTATACAAGTTAAATTAAATTTAAAAATTTCACAAGAAAAAACACTCCCGCCACGACCAACGTTTCCCGCGCTTTTTTCTAGACTTTGGTTTGTAATTTGCATAGTCTCGGGGAACATGGCATGAGACAAAGTCACTTTACGACAGGCGTAACCCACTACCCCTACGAATTTGTATGGAAATAGTTACGTGACTAAGTGTGAGCTGATGTCATTCTTCCAGCCTTCGAGCCAAGGAGTCAGCAACGAACGCCTAATCGCTAGCTCCTTTTTAATTACCGCCCCAAAAATGCAATGTCGGCAACATTATACGCATATTTTAAATAAATTATTATTTATCATTACTTAACACAACTTAAAAGAATTCCAAGGTAAAAGAATAGATATGTTGGAGAAGGAGCTCGAAGAAATTAAGAGATTATAAATATAATTGAAATTCATAACATTCCTTTAATGGAAAATTTACATTTTAATGAAATTCTGGTAAATCTCCATGAGGCAGTAGAAGTACCAATTGACCGATCTTCAATTAAGAAAGTTTAAAAACAAGAAAAGGTGCAACCAAGGTTGTAGTCCAATATTGGTATAGCGATACTAAGAAAAACTTGATCCGTTGCGTAGAGATGTGGGGTCACTCAGCATCTTCTACCGCATTTACCACGGAGAGTGTTCAGAGGAGTTGTTCGGATTAATACCTGCAGCTGAGTTTCATCTTCGGACGTCGAGGCAGAATACGAAATTTCACCCGTATCACCTCGACATCCGCCGTTCCACAACTGAGCGTTTTTCAAGGCAGTTTTTGCCGCGCACCACCACTTTGTGGAATCAGCCGCCCACTGAAGTATTTCCGAACCAATTCGACTTAGGGTCCTTCAAGAAAAGAGCGTACCAATTCTTGAAAGGCCGGCAACGCACTCGTGAGCCCTCTGGCATTGAGAGTGTCCATGGGCGGCGGTATCACTTAACATCAGGTGAGCCTCCTGCCCGTTTGCCTCCCATTCTATTAAAAAAAAATGTCGATAGACGTTAGCTACCGTCATTTATTAATGAAGACGAAATAATTTGAAAAATATTGTTGTTTTCTTTGTGTTATATCACACAATTGTTTAAAATGGAAGACTATCAAATGAATCGGAGGAAGTTATTCGGCTAAAGGCGAAGTATACCCGTGTAAAGATGGCCGCAGAGCAGGCGGAAAATAATAAACGGCTCAAATATAGGAGGTTTTCCTCCAACTTCGATTGTGTTCCCTTTGGAGTAGAGACTCTTGGGCTGTGGGATTCAAGTGCACAGGCGCTGATTAATGATTGAAGTTGGCGCCTGGTAGATAGTACCGGTGACCCCTGAATTATGTAACCAACTAGGTACTTTACAATGCTAAAATATTTACCTTTACAGAGTATGTTGTAGCAATTTTGTTTATTTGTATGGGAAATATGTCTAAAACTAAAAAAAAAAAATTCGTTACTTGTCTAAAAAACATAGTTACCATTATAGTATTTAGTTTTTAACTAGCACGGAGGGTAGGTTCTACGTCACAAAAACTAACCGATACGTAATAAACATCTTGTGCACATTAAGAATGTTCCAAACTGTTTCACGCGTTAGTACAATTACAACATTGTTAAATATTTATAATGTTTGCTTGCAAAAGATGAACTTAGGCTAAGTTTTTTTGAAGAGATAAAGATTTCATTTACATTCATTTATAAAAATTATACTGTAAGAATATAAGTCGAATAAACGGTTTTTTTTATATTTCATATCATCTCCTGTACTTAGCGATAAAAAAAATGAAAACCATAATCGAAGTATATACCGACGTAGGAAAGCATATTTGCTGTAAGTAGACAAAATACCTAAAGTGACTTTTTACTGCCATTAGAATCAGAAAAAAAAACCGCATCGAATGTCCCGGGTCCTGTGTCTCTACGATGAAAAAAAAATTACATACGCGGTTGAAAACGCCCGTACTTATATTTTTTTAGTAAGATTAAATGCTGTATGTAGACCAAAATCCAGTCATTTTAGACAATTTGTACTTACAGCAAAAGAAAATCTGCATTTTTTACTTTACAAATACTTACTTCTTCCCATTTAAAAACTTAACGCTACTTACAGCATTTCTGCGGCGTGTGATTTTTACATTCGTTTACTTACAGCAAGCTTAGGGAACCTACAGTTTTAGTTTTTTTTTACCATTTACAACATGTTATTACAACCAAACATTACATTACCAAATGACCCACTGCATTTCTAGATCTAATCATAATTATAAACTCATCTTACATCTTGAATTGCAATTGAAAGTACCCAAATACATAAATTTACTGCATACAGCATATTTACCGCCTGTAAATTGATAATATTTCCGCGCGTACATTTTTCTTCCTTAGTTACAGCGTTTTAAAGGTTTGTGATTTAAAAAACTGTATGCTGTAACTAGCCAAACACGTACTTATAGTAACTTTGGATAAAAAGTTTACATTGCAAATGGTGACTGGCAGTTAAATAAATATATGTTTCAAAAATGGTAACAATATCATGGATAGGTTCGACACTATTAATTTTTTTCCGAAATTAATTAAGTTTTTTGGCTCTGGTGAACAATTGCAATATGTCTACTTACAGCAAATATGCTTTCCTACGTCGATACATACCAAGTATACTTTTAAATATTAGTAGTATTTACAACTATATATGTTCAAGTAATAGAAAGGATAGATTCATTTAATTGTATTTCTTTCATTACAAATATAAATATAGATTTAGTTTAATGATTGAACTTAGAGGGCGTGACCTCAAACAATGCTTATAATTTTAGTAGAAAGTGGCCTTAAAATACTAATTGGCAATTTGGAACAGTCCTCCTTACTTTCTGACATAGTACACACAACAGTCTATACTCTGTGGTATTTTGTTGTAATAAACATTTACTCTTACAGCTTCTTTTCATATAAAATAATAATTTTGTGTAGACGATATATCATATAATTAAAGAAAATTACGTAATATAAAATACTATATAAATAGGTACCTAATCAAATGATTTGTTGCTGGGCGAGACAATTTTCTAATCAAGATAAAAATTGTGTTATGACATCATTACAGTTATACAAACACCTATTACGCCAATGTGAGAAATTGCCGCCGGACGCTTGTAAATATTATAAATTCGCCGTAAAACAGGTAAAATATATGTAAAAAACCCTTATTATGCTTACTAAGATATACGATAATTTGTAACTAACATAGACAATTTTTCCTTGTAGAGTTATAAACAACATAAGACAGAATCTGATCCAGAAAGGCTAAAAGAAATTATCACTAAGAGTAAGGAAGATGCAAATTGGATAATAAACAAGGTAACACTAAAACATTCATTTATATAACATTGATGTTTGAAATATGTATGATGCTATCAATTTATTTATCTTAAAATTTAACAGAAACCCTTGTTTTTTCAGTATACAAAGCAATAATGGGGCTAACTAGCTGTTATTTCTTTTTACTTCAAAAGAACAGTAAATTTTTATTTAGAAGTTACATCCTGATTATATTGTAACCAATATGTTTGGGGAGAAAATAGAAGATTATGAAATTTTAGAACATCTTGGCAAGGGTGGATTTGCACATGTATATAGAGCAAGATGCAGAAAAACAGGGTACTTTGTGGCTATCAAGATGATAGACAAAGCTTTAATGGCCAGAGCTGGTATGATAGAAAGAGTTAGACAAGAGGTCACAATACACTCTCGCTTAAAACACCCAGCAATCTTGGAATTATATACATTCTTTGAAGATGCACATTATGTTTATTTAGTTTTAGAATTAGCACACAATGGAGAACTAGCAAAGCACTTTAAATTAGGCACTCGAGGCCTTTCTGAGAAAGCAGCTGCTGATATTTTTAGACAAGTTGTGAGTGGAGTACTATATCTACATACTCATAACATTATACATAGGGACCTATCACTTAACAACTTATTATTGACTAAGGATTTAAATGTGAAGATTGCTGATTTTGGTTTAGCTACTCAATTAAATGGGCCTGATGAAAAGCATGTTACAATGTGTGGTACCCCAAATTATATATCACCTGAAGTTGCATCTCGTGAATGTCATGGCCTACCAACAGATGTATGGGGCTTAGGATGTATGCTTTACACATTGTTGGTTGGAAGTCCACCATTTCATACACAACATGTTAAAACCACTCTCAACAAAGTCATCAATGCTGATTACAAAATTCCCTGCGAATTGTCATTTCAAGCTCAGGACATCTTACAGAAATTATTGTGTAAAGATCCATCACAAAGAATTACCTTAAAAGCTATAATGGAGCATCCTTTTATTAATAATGTTTTAAATGTAACTGGAGCATCAAAACAAGACCTATCTAAAGACTCAGGATTTCTGACTACTTTACACAGCACGCAGCACAGTAACAAATTAAGTTCTACCAGGAGAAATAATTCTGATTATTTAAGTAATAATATTATAAACCATTGTCATTTGCCATCAGAGAATGCAAATTATAATTACCAACTGGAGCCTAAACAAAATGTGAATAATATTAATCACTTAGGCGAACATACTGATACTAATTATATTTCTAGCGGTAGTGGGTCTTTTAGAATATTTCCTACAAACAACCAAATTCACCCTCAGAGTGTTGAAAACTTTCAACCAAACCCTAACACTAATATTAGGAGCATTACTGAAGACATAAAAAGACTTGGTATAAATAAGAAACCTGAAGTATTAGTGTTAAATGATGACAACAAGGAGAACCTACAAAAACATTGTGTTAGTAATTCAAACACTATTGGGGTACCACCTTTATGTGCTGACCGCTTACCGATTATATCACACAAGACAAGAAATGCTATTCTCAAGATAGAACCTACTGGAGTTAGTGTTGAATTTATTAAAAAAAAGGGCAGAGATAGGGAAGAGAAAATTGTAGAAATCTGCAACATATCCAAAGATGGTATGAAAATTATAATATCTACACCGGACAAGGGAGTAGAATCATCAAATAGATCTGAACAAAAACCAGGTGAAATTTTTTCCTACCACAATTTACCTCAAAAACATTGGAAAAAATATTTATATGCTGCCCGCTTTGTTGATCTTGTTAAGGCTAAAACACCTAAAATAACCTTATATTCATCATTGGCAAAATGTCAGCTTATGGAAAATGGAACTGATATTGAAATGTTTTTTTACAATGGTGAAAAAATTACATACACTTCTGCTGAAGGGTTAAAAGTCATTGATAGACAATTACGAACTCACAATAATGTTAATACACCAGATTCAAAGTATTTGTACGACCATTATGAAGAATGTTCAAACAGAATGAAAAGAATTGAAAGTGCTTTATCTGGTATTTCAGATGAATGTTATCCTTTGATTATTGGCAAAAGACCAGTACAACAATTATCACACTTAGATGCCGTATTACCACATAATGTTCATAAGAATATTAATACTCCACTTTTGAATTATGGTTCTTTTCATCGTGCTACCCCATGTTCTAGTCAAGCCCATAGTGATAAACAAAATTTTTAAGCTAAAACACCCAAAATTGCAGTTTTATATAATTATTAAACAATATTATTAGTATTTATTATAAAAACAGTATTATTACTGCTTGTGTATAAGTCATGATTTAATATACTTATTGTTCAAATACAGCTTCTAGTATCTAATTATAGTCCCCCATTAATACCAATTGATATTATTAAATTAGATAAATATTTTTTTCACTTTAAATCACCCAATTTACTTAACTAATTTAAGAATAACTATATAGTGATGCTAGTTAAGTCAAGACTTAGCGCAAACATTAACTCCCGTATGTCAAAACTATTAAGGAGATAACAGAAAATATTTCGTTAAACGAAAAAACGTCTGTGTCAAAAAGCCTTGCGCATTTGATAATTTGACTACAGTAAGGGTCTGTTTCACAATGTATGGGAAAAGTACCAAATAGCTATGCAACACATAAATTATTTGGAAGATAAATTATTGTGCTTGTCACTTCATCAGACTCATAACTTATGAGTTATGAATTATGACGGACATCATGGACTTTATGTGACGAATAGCGCTATCTGACAATTCTGACAGTTGTGAAACGCAACAATAGTGTTTATCCTACCAATAAGTAATAAATAGCTAATTTGGAACATTTAGTAGAACTTATCCGTACATTGTAAAACAGACTCTAAATGTAACCAAAGTAGTAAAAAGAAATATAATTTTTTTTGTGCCTCAAAATATTAATATGCTTAACTTATGTATATTGTGTTGATGTTCTAAAATTGCTAAAGATTTTTTAGACCAGGGTAGAAGCCTTTAAAAGAAAAATAGTAGGATGAAACCTATTGGAAAGGGAGGAGAATATTATAAAAATTAAAGGAAAAATTGTGTGAATTTTCGATAGAAAATTAGGGTGCTTTTTCGATATTAATTCAAAATAAGGTGAAAAAATTATTATTTCAAATCAAATAAATTACAGCGTATTAAATACATAAAAAGGTAAGTTTTCACCAAATTTTGTAAAAGATAAAAATTTAAAACCAAAAACTTGGTTTTTTGAATTTTTCACATAAATTTTGAGGTTATGTGAAAAATGTGTAATGACAAAAGTTTTAGATCTTTTTATTACCTACAACTTTGCCATTTGACTTTTTTCCATAGGACTTTTAGTTTTGCCGGAAATCGAGATAAACCGTTTTTTACCCCTTCCCGACCTCAGATCGCCCGTAAATTATTTTTCCTTTAATTTTTATAATATTCTCCTCCTTTTCCAATGGGTTTCATTCTACTATTATTTTTTTAGGTTTCAAAAATTATCGACCCTGGTCTAATTATAATGTTGGCGTGTTGAATATTGTATGATAGTATTTACGATTGAAATAAAAATGAAACATTTATTCATAATTAACATATAAATTCGGCGAAATCCTGCTTTTGAATTAAATGGCTATCAGACAGATAATAGATATATGTATTGTGACAAGTTTCAGTTATGTCTTGATTGAAGTGTAAGGAGCCATGACAGTTGACCATATTTTGCGTGGTAGGAAAAAACCTCTCAACGATTTCTGAACAAATAATGGTGACCAACATATATTCATATCACTATTCAAACTTCTTCTAAGATTGGTACCTACTCAAATCTAAATTGTTTATTTTATACCATATAGAAACATACATACACTTCATTTGTAACAGAACTTATGGCTGGACTAGGTGACATACCTAGTCCAGACTCACTCCAGCCATAAATTCTGAGAATATTATTTAATAGTCGTTCCAAAATTTTAGAAGTGGATGATAGAACAATATAGTATATATAGAGTAATAGAACATAGAAATTTATTTTAATAAGAGAAACCGTATTAAACGTGGGCCTATTATTTACCGTTAATTACGATTTCGTCAGCCCGGACTCCCAAAAAAAACCAATAGTTAGCTAGGTATTTATTATATTTAAACTTATAATTAAATTACAAAATTACATCCGTTATCGATGCTAGATATATACGGAGTGGCAAACATATTTTATTTAATTTAAATGTTAAATCGCGGTAAACACTGTGTCAGCAGAGTAATTCCTTGAAGCCGGCACGTTGACCATACACGTGCCGCGATGTCAGCAAAGTTCTTTAGGGTACCGTATGTAATTCCTCCACCCTCAGAACAGCAACTATTTGAGCACCTTGAGGGAAAATGTTGCTGGTACTCCAGGTTCTTCAGAATCAGGAACAGCATATATAGGGTTGCTTCTTGGTTCTTCTTCTGGTGTAGTAGGGTTCTTTCGCAGGTATCGTCGAAGAATATAGGCAAGGAAAATTATAACTATACCAGATACAAGTGCATAGAGGGGCAACGTTGTATGGTACAGTGAAGAATCAAAGTGGGCAACACGTATGGGATTCTGTAGCATAATTCTGTTTTCCAGATGATGTAAGTTATCGAGATTCAAAGAATTTAGAGTTATATGTGGAATCTCGTTATCTTGAACTTCAGTGAAATTACTTCGTATTTCGGTGATCTTCAGCGGCTGTCCCTTGACTTCATCTTCACTATTGGTTATCTTAAAGGTATCTGTTCGTAGTGAACATTCATGGGGAATTGTTGCTAAGTAGCTGCCAGATAAGGATACATATTCCTGCCGTTCACATTGAAGTTCGACATTCGTAGTCTTTGGGAAGACAATAGTATAGTGTCTATCATCCATAGCTTGTCTTGTGATGGAGACTTCAGTGGGGATACATGATTTATCTAAAGATTGATGAATGATAATACTCTGGATACAATCTGCGTGTTCTTGAGGCTGGTAATAATTTGTGCTTTTCTCACAGAGAAGGTATTCGCCGACTTTCGGGCATTCGGTTTGCAAATACATGAAATATTTCCCATTGGTTGCTATGAAAGGATGTATAGGTATAAAGGTCTGTTGGAATTTATTAGGAACAATGGCAAGCCTAAATAAGTCGTAACTATCTTTAGATATTACAGGAATTTTAAAAATTATAACAATTCTCTTACCTATGAAATAACTACCTGGTTTTATAAGATTATAATATTCTCTCAAATCAATATCTAAGATTTCATTATTACTATATATTTCTCTTAATCTACCTATCATGTATTCTAAGTTATCTATGCTTATCATACTATGATGCGTGCTCGCTGCACGTATAAATCCTAAAATATTCTCTATTCTAATTAGCTCTAAATATAAGTCATCTGTATTTTCAGTAATAATAGCTAATAATTGAGCGAATTTAGCAAACTTAACTTCAAAAAGATAATGCTTATCCATAACTAATTTCAGTTTCAAATTACTAATAAGTTGCGAATATTGGCTCGTCCAATTTTTATTAATACTTATATGATCATTTAACTCAGAAACTAATTTATTTTCATTTGCTTCTAATAACTCTATAGCTTTATTAAATCTTTCAGCATCTTCATGATCCAAATTACCTGTAAGACCTTTAATTAATGATCCTAATCCATTAATAAGTCCCCTTTTTACTTTAGAAGGTTCCAAGGTTTTTAATTGCGAATCTATTTTTGACAATTTAGTATAAAGATAATCAATCTGAATTTCATATATAGGCAAAGTAGTATTATCTAGTTGAATTTTAAAATAGTCTAACTGTTCATTTATAGAATTAATACGATTCTCTAGTTCTGAAAGTTCTAAATATTGTATAAAGGTATGATAATGAGATATTAGCTTAGCTTGACCAAGTTTAAAGGGTAAAAGTCCATGTCCATTGTCAAGAGTCTCAAGTTTTATCTCTGCTGCCTTCGTCATTGTCATTATCAGTATTAGTCGGTACCTGTAACAATTTTGATGACTTTGGTACTCGTTTCAAGCGACATTTAGCAACAGGTCCCTTTTTCTTTGAAGTGTAAATGTGTATGGGTAGATCTGCAAGAACTGTGTCGTGAGTGTATCTTGGTGCTAGCTTTTGTCTACTTGCTAAGGGGTTCTTAATAAAAACCTGCTGATCGGGTACATATTCAGTTTCTGGCTCACAATTTTTATTTCTATTAGTCATTAAATTCGTACGGTCAATAGTTGTAGCTTCGCTAATCATTTCATATACTGTCTTCATTTGGTCTCTATGAGTTATAATATATTGTTGCATAAGTTGTTCAGCTAAATTAAGATCTAAAGGGTCTCTAGGATCAAAATGACCTCTAATGATATCGTGTGGTCTACATTTGGTGAAACTATGTACTGAACTGTTATAAGCTAGGATTGCATAAGGTATTTGATTTATCGTGGGTTCATCTTTATTTTTCAGGCAAAGGATACGAAGGTGTTCTAGTAAGGAAGAATGGAATCTTTCAATAATTCCGTTGTCATTAGGCGAATGAGCTAGTGTTCTATGATGATTAATCTTATGAAGTCTAACAAATTCTGCGAAAAGTTGATTAGTGAACTCAGTCCCGTTATCTGTCACAATAGTCAAAGGTAGTCCATGATGAGTACTGAAATGTAATAGACCTTGAATGATACTTATAGCTGTACCATCTCGTAAGTGATATGCTTGGCCGTATTTTGAAAAAGAATCTACAAAGGTAAGATATTTTTCAGCTTGCGCTGTGAATAGGTCCATATGAACTATCTCAAAGGGCTTTGTTGCAGGTGGTACTATGTTAAACTGTGGTCTAATTGGGTTTCTGTCATATTTAGTCTGTCCACAAATTGTACATTCATTTATATATTTAGTAATTTCTTCCCTCATTTTAGGCCAGTAATAGCGACGTGATAAGGCTAAATAACATTCATTGATACCTCTATGGTTAGTTTTACCTTCATGATAGTGTTTAATTATTTCTTGCTGTCGTAAATACTCCTTAACATCTTCTAACTCGGTTTTCACTAAAACCAGATGCATAGAGTTACATTTAAAGTTATTTTGTAAGATTGGGATTATCGAATACATACCTAATGGTGGAGTTATTTTAATAGCAGTCTTTATTTTAGGATTGACAAATTCTTTTATTGCATTTATGACATCTTGTTCTAATGAAGA